TAGCCAGCCCCCCCACCCCGAGCCAGCCACGTCCCGGCACCGGGCTGGGGTCCCCGGATAGCCAGCCCCCCCACCCCGAGCCAGCCACGTCCCGGCACCGGGCGAGGGGTCCCCGGATAGCCAGCCCCCCACCCCCACCCCGAGCCAGCCGCGTCCCAGCCCTGGGCGAGGGGTCCCTGTATACCCAGCCCCTCCCCCCCAGCCAGCCGTGTCCCAGCCCTGGGCGAGGGGTCCCCGTGTACCCAGCCCCCACGCCCCACCCCAGAGCCAGCCGCATTCCAGCACCAGGGGAGGGGTACCCATATAACCAGCCACCCCAGAGTTGCCACATCCTGGCGCTGGGCAAGGGGTCCCCAGATCCCCAGCCCCCCCCCACGCTCCACCCCAGAGAGGTTGCATCTCTGCTCGGCGCTGGGGTGTGTGGGGGGGGTATGTGCTGGATTCAGGCGTCCACACACACACTGGCTGTTCTCATCTGACTCCCCCCTGCCCCCTCTCACAAGCTCACAGCCCCCCGGCCCCACTCACAGGCCCAGCCTGCACTGTCTAGCTCCCGTTCGTTACTCTCCGGGCCGGTCCCGAGCCCCCCCAACACCCAGTCTGACCCCCCGCCGACTCACGTCCCCATCACAGGGGGGCGGGGGAAACACCAGAGCTCCCTGGCCCCCACTCCTGCCCCACATCTCGCTGTGCCCCCCACATGCCCCTTCTGCAACTGCCCCCTATGCCCCTCCCCACAAACACACCCTGTGCCCCTCACCCAGCCGCCCCCCACCCCGACCTACAACCCTGCATCGCCCCCCCAGCCAGCCCCCACTCACCTAACTACCCCCCTCACCTCCCCCCCACCCCCAACTCCACTCACCCAGACACCTCTGGCCCCATCTCGCCACCCTGCTGGGTCAAAGCATCGCCTGCGTGGTCGTGGGTTGGCTCCCGGCTGCCCCCCGCGCCCTGGCCTCGCTCGCTCTCCCCTGGTGCTGGGTGAGGGGTCCCTGGGGGCGAGGATCCCCACAGGGTCAGGGCGGGGGGAGGAGGGGGTGTCTTGGCCTGGAGCCCGGCTGGAAAATCCTTTTCACCAAATGGGTGAACACGAACTGAGTCACACGCCCGGTGGTGCGAGGAGGGGTGGCACACGCTGGTGCAAAGGGGGCGTCCGGGGCGGGGTCTCCCCAGGGGGCATCTGACCCCAAGTGACACCCCTCCTGCTTTTCCAAGAGGCCCAACCACCCCACCTCCCACCCAGCCCTAGATTCGGCAGCAGCCCAAGCGTCAGCTCGGCTCAAGGACATTTGCCGGGATGCGGCGCAGAGACGGTGCCCGCGCCCGAAACACCCGAGCCGGGATGTGTGAGTCCTTGGGGGGTTGGGGGGGAGGAGTGCAGAGCAAATCAAGGTGAATGCACAGCTTGGTGGGGGGGCAGGGCGAGCAGGGGGCTGCGGGTTGGGAGTGAGGGGCACCGGCAGAGCTGGGGGGGTCAGGGCTGGGCTAGCAGGGGGCTGTCAGTCATGAGTGAGGGGCACTGGCAGGGCTGGGGGGTTCAGGGCTGGGCTGGCAGGGGCTGTCGGTCAT